TTAGACTGGCACAGACGTGTGTAGTTTTTTGGGTTTTTCGTAAAGGTCTGCTGCCGAATCTTACTTTTTCGTAACACTGCTCTCCCGTTTGCTGAATGAATTTTAACTTCTTTGCGCGTTTATGGCGTGAGCAGAAAATAATGATTTAGACTAGTGTATTATAAAGAGAGACGTTATCTCGTCTTTTTTACGGACCATTGTTGTGTTCCCTAATGTCTGAGTACTTTGGGGCGCTGTTTCTTGACAAAATGTTGATCACTGAGGTCAACAAAGTTCTCTATAATGACAATCAACTTACTAACCTGCTGAACTGGATTTAATGCCTTTTACTAACTTTGTATAAATTTAGCACTCACTGAAGCGATAGTTGCTACTTTACGGAGGAAAATTGGTGTTCCTGGTGGATTTTTCGAAGTATCTGCTGCTGATTCACTTTTCAACGGCACGTTTACTGCGGAAAAAACCCAATATGTTCTAAACACTCCTTTTGAAAAGGAATATTTAGGTAAGAATTTTTTTTGACTTTTTGTTTCATGTCACAAGGACCAACCCTTTTAATTTTTTGCTGATGATTCCCCTTTCCTTCTTCTTACTTTCCAACATCACCGGATGTTTTTGATGTGCTTTAGTAATTATGCGTAATACGGCTTAGAACTTTCTAAATATTTATTGAATATGTTTGAGGTCAAGACTTCAACTTTTTGTTTTGAAACGAAGAAGTAAGTCATTGCCCTACTCGGCCGTGTCTTTCCTTCATTTGTATTATGGCTGACAGTTTTATTTTGAAAAGTTGCTGTAATTTTTAAACACGTAATAGTTTTCAGGTCCGCCTGAGGCTCCGCACAAATCTCCTTCTTTCACTCATAATTTTACTGCCTTGCAAAAAGTGATTGTTTCTCTATTACACCTTTTGTTTCACATTTTTTCTAGTAAAATCCAACATTTTGGTTACATTGGGGAACGTTAAAAGTCTGCTTAGTTTTCATGTGACTTCAGTATTCGTATTCACTATGGAACAGTGTAGGAATTGGTATTGGTGGGTCTCCTGAATATTTGCCGTTTGACTCCCCATTTCCATCCAATTTCGAATTTGATGAAGGTCTAACCTTTGGATTCAGACCTATCACGCCAGGTTCTGGTGTTGAGTTTTCAGCTGCAATTGGTGGAAATCGTCCTCTTGAACAGTTCACAGGTAGTATTTTTGAAGCTGCGAAATGGTGAAAACTTCAACAGCTGTTAGATTTACTAGAATTAGGACATAAGTGTGGATGTAAATAAAGATGAATAAATTTATACAGATCTTTTTTTCAGTTGTTCTTCTCACTTATAGAAGGGAAGCAGTGTTGGTTGCGGCTCTCGAACGGCTGCATAATATGCCATATTTAAACAAAGTGAGTTTTGGTGACATGGTTTTGTGGTGTAGTAGTAATGTTAAAAGTTTTGTTTTGACCTTAAGAACTACTCATTTTAGGTCCTTGTGGTGTGGAACGATAACTTGCCTCCTAGTGAAAGGACATGGCCGAAACTTCATGTTCCCGTTTTATTCATAAAAAGCAAAAAAAACTCTTTGAATAATAGGTTCATCCCTTATGCGGAGGTGAGGGATTACAAATTTATCTTAATTGCTGTTTCCTACTCTAAGACATTGAGGATTGGGTTTTGGTTTCAAATTGCCAGTAACTGATGTGGATTAGGCTGTTTTTAGATTGAAACGGAAGCTGTGCTTTCTTTAGATGACGATATTGACTTGAAACAATATGAAATCATCTTTGCGTTCAGGTTCTTTTTTCAGATTTTTTTGGTCAATTATTTTGAATATGAAAGCATAACTTTTACGAGGAAGATTAAGCTCCTAATGTCAGTAATTTTGTAGTCGATCTCACTGTGTGAAAGATTATTGTCGTAAAAATTTTCTTATTATTAAGCATCTTCTACGGGCATGCTTTTGAATAGTTTGTTTTCGGTTTTTAGAGTTTGGCGAGAACAAAGAAGCAAGATAATAGGGTTTCCAGCACGTTACCATGCTCGTTTTAATGAAGAGATATTCTATAATAGCAATCACACTTGCCAGCTTAGTATGATTCTTACTGGGGCCGCATTTTTACATAAGGTATTTTATCTTTATTAGCAGATGTTCTGTGAAACTTTAACGCAATAATTCGTCCCCATAGAACAACATTTCAATGAATTACAATTTTTTGCCTAAATTGTTTTAAATTTTATTAAAAATGGCGTTTTTTCTGAAGTTTTTTTTGGGACGATATTAGGGGACAGAGATTAGTGTTAGGAAATTTATTTGATTAGCTTACTGGATAGTTGGAGGCCTGCAGACGTATAGGTACTCTGCAGGGTCATTGAAAAATTGCACTCCTTAGGCTCCTCCGTGTAATATCGTTTCATGCTTCTGCAAGATTGTTCGTTACCGACTCCAGCTATCCTCGAAAAAATTTATTTGCAATTGCCACCTTGAGCATTGTTTTACCACCTTAACTGGTGCCTCATTTATTAGTAATTGTAACATTTTGTCATTTTATTTTTTACTTGGCGCGTACTTTTCTAAGTCGTTTGTTTTGAAAACTTATCTGCAAAATCTCTTAATTTATCATGGACCAGCACTTTACTATCCATTACTACTAGCTTTTTTTTTAAGTGGTATATGTACCTCTACACGTATCATATGCCTGAAGTAATTCGTCAGAAGGTCGATGAGTTGATGAACTGTGAAGATATCGCTATGAATTTTCTTGTCTCTCACATCACTCGTCAACCGCCTATGAAAACGACTAGTAAGTGGACGATTAGGTGTCCTATGTGTTCCGAGATGCTCTCACAAGATGAGTCTCACTTTACAGAGCGGCATCAGTGCATACGATTCTTTACTGAAGTGTATGGATATAATCCTTTATTGTTTTCCCAGTTCCGCGTAGACTCCATTTTGTTTAAAACGCGTCTGCCACCTAATCACCAAAAATGTTTTAAATATGTGTAGGTAGTCGACAAGAGTTTCACTTTAGATTATGGTGATTGATGACCAAGAGATATAGTACTTTAAGATTTGAGTTTCTTTCTCGTTCCTTACACTTATCTTGCTCTTGTATCATCCTTTCTTTTTCTGAAAACCTCACTTTTTCATCTTGATTCTCTGAAGTAAATCTATATGCCGCTTAAATATGGATATCCTAAAGTGCATGTATTCAATTGTATGGTTCTTAGGTTTTAAGTGGAGTTTGATACCAGTCGCAGGCTCTCTCGTATCGACAGATGTCTTCTCCGCTCAGAGTTATAATTTAAGAGGATAATTCTACACTTTCATTATTCGAATAACTTCAACACCTTAATTTGCCGCCTAACGTATGATCTCTACTTCACCTCATTTTAGGTGCATATCTTTTTTCCTGTCGATTCTTAGGTTTACAATTACCGGTTTTATCTTGATAAACTAACATGTTTTCCTTAAACAGGAGTTTTATGAAACGTTTTCTTGATGAACACTGTTCCCTGAATCAGCTCCTCCAGTTTTAATTTTGTTCGCAAAGGGGTTTCTGAGAATGATGTACAATTGGTGCTATTTAATGGTGTGTATGTATGTATCTCTTTGTTCGAATAATTGTAGCTTAAGTTGTCACTGCCCTGCTCTTGGCTTTTCTAGACTTGAGACTTTATGTTTTTGGAACGACTGACTAGCCCTGAAGACCTGGAATATTCCCTGTCTATTTCTAAAATTTACGGTTTTACGCCACCTTATTCAAATTATATTTGCTACTTAGTACAAAACTGTGATCTCCTCTGCTCATATTCAAGAGTGACCTTATATTTTGTACATATGTAATAATTAAGATTTATCAATTTTTGTTGAAGTCTTACAAACCCATGCTCGCTTAGTAGAGTTCCTGAATACGTTCCTGATCCTGCACAAAGGTTTTGCTTTGAAAGATGTTGGGAAAATTTAATTACATGACCAATTCTCTCTGTTTGTACATACACAAAAACGTAAGTGGTGGCGAGAGCCACTATTTCGAAGACACATCATTGAAGTTCAAGAAGTCCGATACAAAACTGGGAGCAAATGAATAATAAGTAACCTAAAATATAAGGGTAGGCAGCTGAACCACTGGTAGAGCAACATACAGCGTGTAGCGCAAAAATAATGACTAAACGGGGTGGCAGAAACAACTTTAAAATGTTTGACATTTCTGGTAGAAATTTATTTTTTTAACCTTTTCTTTTTTTGCTTGTTTGTGTGTTCTCCTGGGACAAGATAACTTTCATCCTTAATTAATAAATGAACTTGGCGCTCCATTTTTTCTACCATCCGTTGGTAACTCTGTTCTACACGGTCCAGTGTGTCATAAATTTCCTGCTCCTAAAATTTTTAAAGAACTTGTGAGATACCCCAAGATTCAAACACCTGGTTTACATGAAGAAATGTCAAAATTATGGCTTATTTGAGCTGCATATTAAAACTTTTTGGGTCCTTACGAACTTAACTAATGCCCACAAATTGTTAACCATCGTACCAAGAGGGCCGCACGAGTGTTTACAGCAAGTAATAATACGTCTCGTAGTGTATACTGATCTTCAGGCTTGTTTAAACGAGCAAAGTAACAGCGGTCTTTATATCGACGATGTTCTTTTCTGGAAATGGATGGATCTTGTCAAAATAACAAAGAAAGACTGGATGAGGGCGGAAAATATAACGTGAACAATTACTTACATTGGATCATCTTCATCCTCCCAGCTGTTTAATTCTTTTAAACAGAATGCACACTTGACACAACCATTATCAAGTGGATCTGGAGAATATATAAAACCTGCTTCAGCCATCTAAAATAATGTAGGGAATTAAGCAGAGCTTTATATGATTACAAACTACACGCTTGAGATGGTTTTTTTTTACTAACATGGTACTTAGAAAAGCAGATAAAGAAATGAAAGAAAGAGCACCTAAACGTAGAAGAATAAAATTATCAAAAAAATACCAACTTTCTGTGGAGTCAAATTTTCGCTTTCATATGGCCATTTTTTATTAAATGTTTTCAACCTTCCATTGACAAACATATATGGCATAAAAGAGTCGAACAGTCCCTTTAACCGTTCATACTCATGATTTTTTTCGTCCATCTCTTCAGTACAGGACCAAACCGAATATGAATATCCCAGAGATGTAAGGACTGAAACCTGGGCGCTATAGTTGGGAAGAACAAAAAATACGGCATGACCATTCAGATTTTAGAATTTGGCGGCAAAAACTGGGCGTTAATCCAAAAAATCAATTGTCGTCTGTTGCAGCACAGTTTTATTCCATAACACACTTTTTGGTTAAACAATGATAGTGCTACTAATATTGATACTGATTATTTAGCGGTATTAACTGTCTAGGTGCTTCCAGTTAGTTTATTGATCAGGACAGAATCCCCATCTAGCTTACGTAGGATTTACATTTTACTTTAAGTTAATAAAAATAGCTCAAGTTATTACTACGGCATATGTACCAAATTTTCAATTTTTTTTTCTGTTGCAGGAGAATTTAAAAAAGTTCTTTTCTGAATTCTCAACTGTGAACTCACGAGCAGTTAGTGGTTACCGTGAAATTCAAGTTCCAAACTGAAGTTCTTTTTCCGATAACAATAGATGCTGATTCGTTCATAAAGGAGGTTTATGGTCTTATCAACGGCTTTCTATGCGTTATGCATAAATTAGCTTTTACTAGTCTGTAAGCACCCAGCATAATTTTAGAACATACTGCAACAGTACCGGATGAACGTTTACAGCGAGTCATAATCGGAAAAAAACGAAGAATATTATTCAAAGCATTGGAAGAGGATAAGGATAACGTAGAAGAAGTTTTATTCCCGTTGTAGGCCAAGCAACAATAAACTGTATAAAACAAAGCGAAATTGAAATATCACGGTATAATTATCTTTATCTAAATTATTGTTATTCTTCTCGTCCTCTTTTTTTTTTCAACTTTTTGATTCCTTTTT